TTCAAGTTTAAGATTGGAAATGGTAAGGCTAGTCTTTGGAATAATCTTGGGTTGTATAAGGAACCATTGTTTAATTGTGTTCGCTATAATCACATGCATTGGCTCATTAGAGACAATGTTGATATGAATGTTTGGAACTTGTCCCCTCTTTGTACTATCTTGGACCTGGACACTAATTACAAGATCTCTCTTTTTTTCTATTCAAGATCTCTTAATTGAATCCTTTGTCCGTTGATGATATACCTGATCTGTGTTCCAAGGTTGATGATATACCTGATTTGTGTTTGAAGTGCGAGCGTTATCTCTAGTATTGTATTCTAACAATGATGCATATGAATGGCATACAAACCCTTCTAGTTTGCATACTAATCATGTTAATTGGAGCTGGATTTGGAGATTAAAGGTGCTTTCTGATGTTTTTCAGGTTTGTGATGATTCTAGAGAAGATATTTTGTGTGGTTTGTTCTTTTGTTGACGTGGGTCAAAGGTACTTGCCAATGGTTTATTAATCACACTCAACCATTGAATATGAAAGTGATGTCCTCGACACTTCAATAACCAATCTTCTTTTCAGACCTTTTTACAACCACATACTCAATGAAAATTTGATTTTATTCACCTAGTGTTGACGATAATTGAATTTTGAAACAATTAACAATGAAATGATCAGCCATTATAAAAGTGTCATTAACTTGTAACTAGAAGATGGAAAGATTCTTCCAATCACATACCCGTTACACTGATCTTTGAAAGAAACTTCGAAATAATTAACAAAAGGGCATCCTAGCAAAGCAAATGTTGATGACTCTAGTCCATCAATCACCACTCTTCCAAATCTATTATCGTGGTGTGCCAAGACCCATTTCTGAGGAAAATTGAAAAAACATTAAATAAGCACTAGCAAATTAGGGCCAAAAAAGTTTCTTGTGCAAGAGAATTATTATGCAAAGCACATGACATGATTAACATATACAAACATAAATGGCTCAACAAAATTGACTACAAAGTGAAATCATGACAATTATAATGTCGCTACTCGCTACATGGTATTTCAAATGAACATGTTAAAAGATTAAATGCATTGAAAACAAAAACATTTGTTGCCGCCAAGCATGAAAAAGTAGTGAATTGAGCTGGGATATATAAAAGGTTGTGATTCATCACTTAGGGTCTGTTTGGTTGGAGGAAAATCGAGGTGAGGGATTATTTTAAGAATTAGATGTTTGGTTCAATTTTTAGAGAGGGAAGAGGAGGGGATTCAAATCCCTCCAATGCCAATTTTTGCTCCACTCCAAAATGGAGTTTCGGAGGAGAGGAAGCAATTGTATACATTCTGACATTAATAGCCTTACAATTAATGTGATCTTATAGATTTAAAGGATAACAAATATAATTCCATTCAATTCCTCCATTAAATCCCTCTCTTCCCCTCGTCGAACTAAACATGCAGTTTCTCTCCCCATTCCCTTCCCTTCCCTACCCCTTTCATAAAAATCTCTCCCCTCCCCTCCGTTGATCCAAACGGACCCTTAGATGAAACAAATGAATTACAAGCAAAAGATATAGGTCATCTAGAGATGCTTGAGAAGAATGCATAGGTAGTAGTATACACTAAAAGGAATGCTTAAGTTTTAGCAGTGAAGCAAAAATATGAAAAGTAAACAAGTAAACAAGCACCATAATAATACACAAAGTAAACTAATTAGAATAATTTTTTAGTGCCCAAGGTTTAAAAAAAACAAGCGTTGATTCAGGTATATGTCAATCTACAAATCATACACGTAACAATTTCCAACTCCTATATATGAAATTCAAATGCAATGTTATTAATTACAGCTCTGACCATGTTCTAAATAATAATTTATTACTGCTCCACACGTGGCCTATTGCATCTATTTCAAATGTTAATACCATTTAGGTACAGTTATGTTCATATGAAACCTTAGCAATTTGTTTTTGGTTAAGCTCAATGAAGCTTTGAAAGGGTGAGCCAGTCAGCACAGCTGCGTCTGAAGGAGGGACAGACCATTTCACTATCTGTTTTGATTCTTTTGAAGAATCTGCAAATCCTTGTAAAGCATTTGTGTTCTAATTTCTAAATTCTCAATATTTTGATAAAAATATAAAATATAACAAAATAATACCTTTATTATCTATTTGAAGGTTTAGTGATATTTATCTAAAAGCATACTCTTAATAGATCTTTTTGTCATCATTATAAAGATCATATATAATCAAGATAGGTTAAATTATAGTAATATTTAAGTTTTTCTAAATTTATTGAACTTTTAATCAGTTTTTTTTTTTAGAAATCAAAGCTTCACTGTTTCCTATGCATGGCCTTAAAAAAGGACAGGCATTCAACATAACAAGCAATTGCAAACAGAACATAGTTTCAATATATGAGCATTATTCTTGGATCATAAAGTTAGAGATTTTGTATCATTTCAAAGAAGAAAAAAAACACACCGAAAATTACAGAACAGATTAAAAGAACCTATACTATTACTATTACTACAAAGTGAACAAACCATCACAGTTTCTAGACTGAAAATTTGTTTACAAATTTCATTGAAGACAGTCGTTCACAGTGACTAAGTCAGGGATTACAACATAGCCAGAGTCTCAGCGAACATTCAACATCATTTTCAAATTAAAAATGCAAATATATTTTTATTTCTCTTCAGCAAATATTTGAAACAGAACGGCATGTGCAACTTAGCATTTCTCTTAGATGATGTACAATTTTTTGAAGGAGCCTAAAACAAGCTTCACTCCATCAAACTCAAAGTTACTAATAAATTTAGCTGCAAAATATGACAAAGACCTTTCTTTGAGGCTATGTTTGGATATCATAAAATGAACAGAGTGGAAGGAAATATGGTGGTAAGTGATGGAATGGAATGGAATCCATACCACCCCATTCCGCTCCTCCAACCAATTTTAACTTAAACAAACAATGGAATAATACTTCATTCCATCTCATACCACTCATTCCATCCAAATCCATCCGGCTAGATTGATGGAATGGTATAATTTATGTTCCGTTGAATTATTTTTATGGATTCCACCATTTCACCAATTCGAACTAAATAACGAGCTAATGAATCTCCTTCTTTTTGCCATTGAACTTCCCAATCCAATTCCTCGTAACACTCGTAATTATCAACTTCACGTTGATCCCATTGTATTCCGGAAGCCCGAAGCATCGGTCCTGATAACCCCCAATTTATAACTTCCTCTCTATTGTTGGAATAATTAATAAAGGATGGAATGGAGCGGATAGGATGGAATGGATTTCTTTCCCGTTCCATCCCTTTCTATCATTTTTTGTACCCTCCGATTTGGACAAAATGATAAAATTGTTCTATTCCACCATGAAATACTCAAAGACATCTTTATTCAATTTCGTTAGTTTTACAATATCCAAACATACCCCAAGAGTTATTTTCATTATCCTATTAATCACGACTTAATTAACATAATCACATAACTAAAGCATGACACTGATCAAGAATTTCAACTGAAAACAAGATTAAACAGCAATCCAACTAAAAAAACACTACAGAATCAGTTAAAATTCATTTTATAACGAGTGAAAGTTGCAATATGCTTACGGATACGAAAGGAGAAAAAAAGAATCGGAGAAATCAAACTCCAGGGTTGGCACTGCAAAGCATACCCTGAGACAAAGATCTCGAACTAGTTGAATCGATTCCGAGGCAAGAAGTGAGGCGCGCTGATGAAACCGCTGAGTACAACGGAAGCAGCGACTGCACGCAACCAAGCTCCGCGACGGACCTGAACGGAGAAAGAACAATGAAAATTAAGATTCCGTTAAATTGTAAGAAATGGAAGAATTGAAGCGAAGATGAGGACTTGCCGGACAGTGACGGGAGTGCGAGTTCTGAGGAGAAACGGTGAGGAGGATTTGGGCTTTGCGATGGTGGATTTGATTAGGGTGAACGCTGGTTGTGAGAATGATCGGAAACGAGAAGCCATTGGAGAAATTAGCGCCACCTGATTTTTTACAAAGTTAGGGTTTTGAGCTGAATTGGAAGAAACTGAACGCAAAAGAAAGGGTTTTTCGGAGGTTTTACTTTTTTGTCCTTTTTCAATTTTTATTCTTCTCCTTCTTTTCTTCTTTAACTTAATATAAATTGAGGATATGTGTTTTGTTTTTAGAAGTATCATAATAATTTTTTTTAATTATTTTATTAACAAGTATGAGATACTAATTACTACATAGAGATACTAATTACTACATAGACCTAATCAAATGTAAAAGTCACTTTTCTCTTAATTAGAAAATATAGTTTCAAACTAAATTATGTCACGCGTATTAAATCTCTATAAGAAGGATTTTAATAACACGAAGAAGATGGTCGGTTTAAATTTAAAAGTTGTTTTTCTAGTTGTAAGTAGATGATAGAAATTGTTATGATGATTGGAGAGAAGAGACTGATTAACTTAACATTAATACATTATTAAAGATGTTTTTGAATTGTTGACTATTGCATAGAGACAATATTGATTTTGAGGTCTTCTAGTGATGTCTTTGTTGATCAATGACAACTTCAAAGAAAAGTTTGAGAGTAAGATGAAGAATTTGAGGGAGGAAGAGTTGAAGATAAAGGAGAAAGAGTTTGATGGGCAAATCCTCTTCAAGGATACAATTGTGCAACATAATTAGAGAAACATAAAATTATGCAATGCAATGTAATGTAATGATGTTAATGAAATTGTTCATTGCTCAAAGTTGTTGTGCTGTCTCATTCGAGAGGATTTTCACACTTCTTAATAATGCAATATCGTCTCATCTTCTTACTCAAAATCTCTCAAAACTTTAACTTAATAAATAGCTTGCACTAACCCAAAAATAGAATGCACTATTCATCTATTCATTCCTAGTAAGCAGATTTTACAATTAATACACACACAATAAAATAACAAAGCCAGCTGATTTATCTATCAGATTATGGCTTGTTTCTTGAATGCTGTCATAACAGAGCCAACCTTCCGGTCACCGAATCCACAATTGCTTTTGGCCCTGAAACGAAAAGTAACATTCAAATGTTCTGTCATACATATGCAATTTGATGTTCTAGAACATGAAACACAAAGCAACATAAACCAAGTCAAGAACAAAGCAACGCAAAGCTGACCAGGTCCAACAGCAAGAACAGTCTTTGATCCTGCCGAAACCTGAAGATGATAGATAGGACTAGTTATATAAACAGCGCGATAGTTATTACTATGTACTAACTATGCGATAGCATATTTAAGGGTATTGTTCTATATTTCTAGCCACATATCAAGCATTATTACCTGTGTTCGTCCAGCATCCGCGACAACAAAAGTAGGAAGGCCAACACTCTCAGCTGTTTCCTTTAGCTTATTCCTGATTAAAAGCCATGTCAGGATGTAGATCTCTAAACTAGAAGCATATTTACAGTACTCCGAATATAATCATCTGCTTACATTTCTTGTTGGTTCTTGCAAGTAACAACAATTTTGGGCTGGCCGCACTGTTCCCAATGTCTTAAAAGAGACCGGTTGCTGCAAATGTATTCAGCAGTGGAACAAACTTCAATATTTATGATACATAGCATGACAATGAAGCATAGCAAAATGACTCATGTTGAATAATCACCATCTTCATGTTCAAAATGAAACTTCAAAACTAAACATACAATCGTCCCATTTGCTGACTCACAGAAAAAGGGAGCAACCAAGTCACCTATTACTAGATTATATGAATAATCAAAAGCAAAAAGGGCCATCACACGGTGCTTATAAAATTCGCTAGAAAGCTCGCACTTTAAAGCAATCTTCTTAAACATTACATTAAACTATTTGTGATTTTGTTTTCTCATGAAAACAGCGTTGGTGCCTTGGTGGGTGGATTGGTAGGAAGAGCTATTAATAAGTACCTTTGTGTTAACTCAGCATACATGCCAGTCGCAGCATCTGCCATAAAAAAAAACAGAAGAATGTAATGGCACATAGTACTATAAACAAGAAAGGATGTAAAGTGCAAATAAATAAGTTTGTAATGGGTTAATAAACAAAATGTGACCCTCCAAACAATGTGAGATAAAGAACCGATCAAGAAAATGAACAATAGTATCATATCTTACGAGCACATTGAGACGCAATCTTTCCGGATCTCATCTTTAGGTCTTGCCTAACAACCAGAACCTAACACAAAAATTTACAGTTGAAATCAAAATTTTCTCAACATCCAACTAAAGAAGTTCATGCAGAAAGTATATTACAGAACAAGATATCAATTAATGAAACTATCTATTGAATAATAACATATGCAGATCCAAAAAGTTTTATTTATACACAGCTTGTAGAATTGAAACCAAAGGCATGTTCGGTGTGTCAATATCGAATAGCAACACATGTAGTTAGTTACATTCAACTAACTTAAAGCCCTAATAGCATGAGAAATTGAATATGAAATAAACAAACCATTTTAAGTTCTTGATCAGCATTACTTGAGAGTGAGAGTTGGTGTTGAAGCTTGTTAGATGAGAAAATTTTTTTGGATAAGTGATTTCTAGTTGGCTTTGTTAAATCAATCAACATGCCACAAATAAAACCTATAACAAAACCTGGAATGAAATTCTCTGGTTTGAAACTTTCTGATAACCATTCTCCCTTTTGCTTTCTTTGTTGCTGCATTTATATTCAAACATCAATAATCAAATATTAATCAAAATAATTGGGTTTTTCCCTAAACATTGAATTAAGCGGAAAATATGAAAATCAGTAGAAATTTGAAAGAGTTAAGCGGAAAGGATAATACCGATTTTGGTGTTGTTGAAGAGAGAAAGATATAACTAACCTGTTCTGTTTTGGAAAACATTGAATGTTTATGCAAACGGGTAAAGGTTGAAATTTTGAAGTTGAACTGATATGTTCTCATTGTGAAATATATATATATATATATATATATATATATATATATATATATATATATATATATATATATATATATATATATATATATATATATATATATATATATATATATATATATATATATATATATATATATAAACACGTTTTATTAATGTAAGCACGTGGAAAAGTAAATCACTAGTTAAAATTTGATAAAAATATATCACTTTTAAATTGATTATCAAAAAAGATTTAAGAAATTTATGCCACTTATAAATTGATTATTTATTTGGAGCTAACTATGAAAATTATAATAAATTTTGAAAGTGATAGTGTGTCAAAAATAATAAGATTTTAAATTTATTTATCGATTTAAATATTGATTATCGATTATTTTTAAAATTTTGACAAATAGAACTATTAATATAAATATTGATTATCAATCACTTTTAAAATTATTTGAAAAAGATTAGGAGAGCTATAAAAGGAGTCGTTAAATATTTTAAAATTATATTTTTTTTTTATTATAAAATAGTTTATATGTAAAAGTAATAATTTATAAAATTCAATATTAAATATTTTTCTAATTATACTATTCATTTGCATTGCATAAATTTTATTCAATATGTTTTATTATGTAGTAAATATTTATAAAAAATATTGATCAATTCATTAACTCACTTTATAAATTATTCAAATATTAATATTTTAATTTAACAAAAAATGTCTATATTAAAATTTTCAAAGTAAATTTTAGAATTCGATATTGCTTAAAGTTTTACTACCTAATTATGAAAATTATAATATATTTTGATAGATGAAGTGAGTCAAATATAATTAAATTTTAATAAATTTTATTTTCTCATAAAAATGATATGAGACAAAAAAATAATATTATTGTTTCAAATATTAAATATTAAAAATTATCATTCATTTCTTTAAATATATAAATAAATGCTCATATTAAATTATTACCCGTACATAAGCTCCATGATTTTTTACTAGTAATTTTTTAAGATAGGTATGATATCAAATTTGTATTTTTTTAATTTGAGTAAAAAAAGATATGTGTGATAATCAAATTCATGTTTTATTTGTACAGTTTAGTGAATAATACACTATATTTAATTAAATTTTATAAAAATTAAATTAAATTAAATTATTAAATAAAATTGATTAATAAGATCTTGTTGTGAAATAGTTACCAATAAGATTTTAATTGAAAATCTGCAGAAAACAATTCATATTTGCAAGAAATCAATTGTGTCTAATGGTAGTTATAATTTATTATTGAGAGATTAAAATAAATCAGATTTGAGAGTAACAAATCTGTATGTATCACTATTTCTCAACTATTCTCAAACATCTCAACTCAAATTCAGTTCTTTTAACAGAAATTTTTTTTTTTTTTAGTTTTCTAATAATATTAAAATAGTTAAAATGTTGATTACAATTTTTTAAGATATGTATGATAAATAAATTTATGTTTGGGTCTTTATTAAGTTTAATGAATAATAAATTATATTTATCTGAGTTTAACGGAAAAATAAACTAAATTTAATTATTGGTCAGAATGTATTATAGTTCAATTTCAAAAATTAATTATCAATGGTTTTTTTTCATTTTTTTCTAATAGTCTAAACTGAAATATTTTTTATGTTTTTATTAACAAATTTGTATCTCATATTCTTTTATATTTCCCAAAATTAAATATTTACTCCATTTTAAAAATATTTTATTTGATATTCCTATATAATATTTGCTATGATACAAGTTTAGCTTCATCTCATCTTAGTACCTTTATTAGACAAAGTTAACAAAATATAGGATATAATTGATTTTGGTAGTAATTTTCACTCTTAATCAATTCCTCTCTTTCAAGGCCAAAAATATTATGAGATTTTGATAACTACAATTGTTATATAACATAATTGAGTAATAATTATATAATATAATTAAGTAATTTAGAAGATTTTGATAGCTACAATAATGATATGACGTAAAAACTCTAAAAATTCAAGAGATTTTGATAACTACAATAATAATCTGACATAATTTAATATTCTGTAAAACTTAGGAGATTTTAATAACTACAAAGGTAACAATATCAAGCATCAAATAACACAAAACATCAAGTTTATAAGGATGGATGTAATCAAACTTGACTTGTGTTCAAATTGTTTGTGGAGAATTTCATTTCTCTCTCAACATCTTGATGTAATATTTATATATTATCATCTTTCTTTTAAGGATTTTAAACCATACATTATTTAAAAAAATAAACTTTTTCATATAATAAAGAATAAGAATATATGATAAGAAAAATTCAAAACAATTGTCATGTGTTTGGGTTGCAGTCGCTAAAGCTTTTATAATTTTGATTAATTTAGATATTGTGATACTGATTACATATAATTTATTTTTTAATATAAAAATAATAAATAACAATATTAATATTTGTCAATCGCGTTTTGTCAAATTTTAGTCACACAATTTTAATTATGCGGCATTTCAGTTAGACTTTACAAATTTGGATTTAGTACTTGATTTTTAAATGTCAGAAATAATGCTGGGATCATGTTTTGTCCCTTCAAGCAATCAGAAGAAGGGATTGAAATGCAGGTTGAAACAAAATATCTTTGTAATCTCTTACTAATTATTCATGAAATTATTATTTGCATCTTATTCATTATTTATTACCCTATTTAATCTTTTTTCACTTCTTAGATAATTTTCTGTTGACAATTCTTCTTCTTAATAAAATGAAACAAGGCAAAATCAAACTAATTAACATTCATTGTGTTGGATTGAGTTTTCAACCTGTACTTTTAAGATTAAACCCGAAGCAAACCAACTCACTTATTAATAGGTTGGATTGGGTTCGTGGATCATCCACTAAATATATTTTTTAAATTTTAAATAAAATATATCAATTTAATTAACACATTTATATTAGAAAAACAATAAAAAAAAATCATAAACTTTTAGTATTACATTTGAATAAAATTGATTGGTTAATACCTAAAAACTCTTTTTTGATTCCTATAAAGTTAAAAAAAAAATACAAATAGTATAAAGTATAATTTAAAAAGTAAGATATATTTCTCTTTAAATAAATAAAGTTGATCTCTCAATTTTGATTTAAATTTAAGCTCTTATAATTAATAAAAAGTATAATTATATTTAAAAAAATGTGCAGTGTAAAAATTATGCTAGATAATTTATAAATAAAATAAAATAAAAATAGCGTGACATATCAATGGATTGAGTTTGCGAGTTTGTGGATTTAAAATTTTAAACTCTTACTTGAACCAAATACCAATGAGTTTGTATGGGTTGGTTCGGGTTAAATTCGTACATAATTGGGTTGAGTAAAAATAAGAATTGAATTGAATTGGATGAGTGGATTCGCGGGTTGCCCCGTATCCATAAACACTCCTAGAGAAAAGAATCAAAATTCTATCATCAATTGTTCATAGATACATTTACTGTATAAAAGGAATTAGATTTAATAACATCAATGATCAAAATGGATACTTTTGCTATGACTTTAGTTGACTAAAGTCAGTTTCTTATTTTATATGGTTGCAATTTATTTATTTTGTGTTGTTATAACTTTTAATTTTTGTTATTCTAATATAAAAGCTTATGGACCGTCTAAGTTAGCCAACATATTACATGCAAATGAACTCTATTTTCGTCTTAAGATGTGATCTGACCTGATCAGAAGGGGATCACGGGCTGGCCACACGCTGTTGGACTGCTACCTGTTCACCGTTGATGAGGAGGAAAAAAAAGGGGGTGTACCTGCAAAACACTCCAATGCCAAAGTAAGGAGTTGGACAGAGTGAGAGCAAAACACAGAAAGTGGGTAAGAAGTGAATTACCTGACCCTCTTGTGGAAAAGGGTATTTATAGAGAGACCCCAGCGCTGGGCCAACGGTCATTTGAGGTGGGCTGGATGCCTAGGCCCAACTCTAATGACTGCTAGGGCTTACGTGGCGTAGTGAAGACCAGAACGTGGTCTTCGCCCTAGTCCAACTGTCCCGTGATCTCCGGAAAGTGGTTTTGACCTGCTCTATCGGAGGTGGGCAGTTAGGAGATGACGTGTCCCCGCGGAGGAGAGCACGTGGAGAGCGTGCGGATGACACGTTGTCCTCCCCGCGAAGGGGAGCCCGGGAGATTCCCCGGGGAGTCTTGCTCGATGGCATGGAGTACCGCTCGCGGAGGGCGGTGCTTGACCACACGGGCGATTCACTTACCCAGCGTGGTTGGGACGGTTCTCCCCCGCGGGGAGATCATTCTAGCAAGTCGGGGATCTTGGGCCCGACTCGGTAGCTCGGACCGGGCAGGGCCTGGTGGAACATTATTGGGCTGGGCCAGCATAATTCTGCCCGGGCCCAGTCCAGAACAAGATGGATTTTATATGTAAACATAAAATAATTAAATTAATTGCAGTCTAGATTATACTATAACATAACAATTATATAAATGAGAGATAAAGATATGATTATTACATGTTTAATTTTTAATTTTCTTTCCAATTATCATTAGTACTATTTTTGGGCAAAAAGTCAAATTTTATTGATAATATTTTACCCTTAGTTTTTTACTATGCTAAACATTAGTATTATTTTTGAACAAGAAATCAAATTTTATTGATAATATTTTACCCTTATTTTTTCACTTGCATCAACATAGCATGATCATTTCATTTGATCATGCATTTTATTTGATCATGAATATTTATTAGGGTTTAGTGAAAAGTCAGGAGATTTGACATTTTATTTCATCTTAATGACATTCATTCATTCATATTCATATGTGGATTGAGGAATCAAGAGTTCTTTTTAATCTCAGTGCATCATTCATTCCATGACATCAGATCTCACAGATTTAGAGGAATGACACTCAAGAGTACTATTGTCGTCTGATGCTTTACAAAGTTTTAACTGTCAGTTATGT